ATATATATATATATATATATATATCCGTTGTAAGAAATGAGAAATCCGTTGCTTCTCGAAGCAATCTTAAAAATGGTAAGATAATCATCACAAATATAATTACCATTTGATAGCGGGCTTATTACTTTGTTATGAACATATACACACATACACACACAACACGGAAACTCAGAACTGTAATATGTATAAGCGATGTCAAAGTGACCATAGTTTTCTACAGATATTTTTGAGTTATTCTGTATCCGTAGGCCACAAGCTACAAAACTTAGGAAAGGCAAATTATAATTTCCTTTAAAAACTAAGTAGAATAAATTTTATATATATATACATACAGCAGAAAAATATGATTTAAGATATAAGATTGTTTCATCCTCATTTAAATGAAAAGATATATCTATTCTAACAATAGATTATTAATAATGCCTTGTATTTCGTTATTTTATTAATAAAATACCAAACTTGCTTTTAAGATAAATGATTACATTGAATGTATCCATAAATGTTTGACATAGGATATGACTCCCATTTTTTGTGATAACATTTATGATAGAAGTAATTTTATTACTCCCTATAGAATATAATTTGTTACCGATGTAAAAAAAAGGAACTAATTGAGAAACAAATATGTTTTATATATATAATTATTTTATGCAATATATAAATATTGTATAATTGCTGAAATTATTTCATGTATAAAAAATGTCCTCATTTCATAAAACTATAATATATGAAAAATATTTCTATACATATATGTATAGACATACAAAATATTCAATCTTATATTTTTAATTTGTAACTTGTTATAAATTTATAGTGTTATAACTTATATATTATATACACAATCAGCATTAAAAAGATGCATGAAAATAAATTAGACATTTTATAAAAATAGTGTTAGTGGACTTTATTACATATACATAATAAAGCTTATTACGTTTAAAGCTTAATTTATAATTAAAGCTTAATTTGGCAGATCGCAGAAATAACAAAAACTATTATTATTAAAAAACTAACATTTTTAATCTTAAATTATTTACATTACTTATAAAACAAAAGATTATGAAGACACGGGTAAAGATGCTGACTCCAGACGAATAGTGTTTCTGTGAGAATTACTATGATTTTTCTGTCGCCATTCAAGCCATCGTGATAATTCTGGACTTTGAGAGGCATCGTTAAGATCAGTCCGACCTTCTAACTGTTGATAATATGCTTCTCGAAGCAATCGAAAGGTCTGTACATTTTTATATGGTAATTGTGTCATAGGATCTAAATACTTAGCAGCCAACCTATCAATCCAAAAAATTTTTAATTTTTTTTAATACTAGATTATAACATTAACC